TCTGTCTGTCTGTCTGTCTGTCTGTCTGTCTGTCTGTCTGTCTGTCTGTCTGTCTTGTTTCTGTTAATGTGTACAAAAATCTGCAGTAGATATTAATGCTTGCAAAGAGTCCCTGTTGCCCCTTGATGGGGATATATGGGGCAGTAGAGTCAAACGGGCTTGCTAGAACTTGAAAATTTTACAAAAAAATGTAAAAATTTGAAATTAGACATAATTCTCAATGTCATTGTACATTTTCTTTAGTTTACTTGAGAGAAATCAGCCTTAGAAATTACATTATACTTGAGCGCTTGTGCCTTTGCTGCCACAGTAGTACCTCGGGCAAAGAGCCATATCATCCAGGTCCAAAAAAACCCCACTTTAAATCTTTTTCTAATTATTATTCATAATGAGAATTTATTTAAACCTTCAGATTTTTTATATCTTCTATGTATTTATGCACTTAATTTTGTTTTCTCAGGTTCAAGGTCTTTGCTGATTATGAAGACTACATCAAATGCCAGGAGAAAGTCAATGCTCTGTACAAGGTATACACAAAAGAAAATAACATTATTATCAACTTAACCTAGTTATTAAATCAGTTATAATAGAGGAACACTAAAGTGACCAAGTCTTTTCCAATTTTGCTTTACTTCTTCTTATTTGTCATAATATTAGAACCCCAAGGAATGGACCAAGAAGGTGATCTACAACATTGCTGGATGTGGCAAGTTCTCCAGTGATCGCACCATTGCCCAGTATGCTCGTGAGATCTGGGGCATGGAGCCCACGCTTGAGAAACTGCCTGCCCCTGATGATAAGCAATAAACTCTTCATGAAAGCCAACACATATACAGCTTCTCACCCTGCCTGTGATACCTTATGAAACTGAAATTGTTGGATCTATAATGTCAGGCAAGAAGCCCCCACAAGCTTGCATCCACAGAAAATTAAAGCCTTGGAGAGTTTACATTTCTTCTTACCTCCATATTATCAATCCAGATTAGATGCTGATGAAGGAAAACTCTTGCAGTTTGATTTGGAGACGTAGGAGTTGGTGTGTATTTGATGTAAAGTGGATTGGAAAAGCTTTGTGGTGGGCTTTGTATATTTTATGCAGATTTTTTTTTATTAATAAAAATAGTTCCTGTTGTATATCCACTTGGACTCATTCTAAATAAAATTTGTCTTAAAGAATTGACTATCTGTTAATTTACTTACACCAAATTATTGTGTAATTATGGTGGGCCTATGTATTTAAGACACTTTTAAAGTCCCAAATCTAACTTTAATTTCGCTTGAATCCACTGTCACAAGGAATGGAAGAAAAAATATGTTAAGCAATCAAAGGAAGAGGGAGGATTTCTTAGAGCCTATTGAGAACCAGAAAATCTTTTTTTTTTGTTTTACTTTTTTATCCCAAATATCTATGACCAAGCATAATATTTTTTCTATATATAGATAACAAACACATACGAACAATTTATTTTTACTTTTATAGCCACCTAAATATTACATGGTGAGGGTGAAGCTGCAGTTAATTATAAAGATTAAGTAGTAGGCTGACTGCAATATGTGACTTGGCCACTAGATGACACTATACTCTACATATTGCTTCTTTAAAACCTATTGTTTCAGAAAAAAGGTTCAACGAAACTACCATTAAGGATTTCTTATGTTTTGCATTTATTTCATACCAAACACTTTCAGATCCTCAGACATTTAAAAAATGTTTTATTTTATAGGTAATAAATAAACTATAAAAAAGACTTTAACTTCTTTTTCAAATATTAATATTATTTATCTTTAGTTATTAAATAAAGCTATCCTAATTAAACATGTATGAAAATCAGCCTGTTGGTGGTTCCACCAACCAAAGAAAGTTGTTCAGGTCCTGAACATACAACCTTCATGTGTTCTGATGGGTATTAAATAATTTCCAGAAAATGTTTTCTTCATTTTTGGATTATGGCTGCCTGTCACCATTCTTTTTCTTCTTTATAAGACTTTGTACTGACAAGGTACGTACTTTTTTCTTTCGCTTGTATAATGATTTATTTTTCAAGATCTACCAGCCTGTTGTCAGATAAGTTCATTTAGACAATTTCTTGAAAATAATTCTGATGGTAATCAGGGCTCGATGAGGCTAGGGAACCTGATAGCTTTAAAAATAGCATTATTATAGAATAGTAGGACAAGTGTAAGTGTTTACAATAAAAGTTTATTTGCATGTGTAGTATGTTGGAGTTAGGCATTAAGTTGTCAGTTTCATTATTATATGATCACAGAGTGATGAATGCATCTCCGCCTCACATCTCTTATTTCTCTGGCTTGTTAGGAAGAAAGGAGAAAGCTCTGACCTCAGAGCCAAGTGTGGTTATGGATAGGCTGAAGAAAAGCAAGACAGTCACTTTATGCTTTATATATTTTACTGTGTAAGAAAGATCCTGTGTGAAGAACCATGAAGACATGAGTTGACAGCTTTGGCATTGCCTAAATTAATTCATGGTCAAGGAAAGATTACTATTTCAACTTTGGCCAGTTTCATTTGGTTTGCTTTTGTCTCTTAAAACCCCCCCCACTAATTTGAAAGCTGATTTTCAGTATTTACTCCACACTCACAGAAATAATTCACAAAAATGCTAAAATGTTTGTAATTTTATTGCATAAAAAAATCCCATTTCCCTTTTTTAAATAATTTTAACAAATCCTATTACTAAACTTGACATGATCCTTATTCATATGGAAAATACAGTTTATTTACTTAAATTACGAAATCATCAGGTGTATGAATTTAGTATTGTAAAAAGTATAAAGTATACTTACTGTGTGTTTTTAGTTAAACTAAATACACCCATTAGGAATAGATATTTTAATTAAATTAGCTTATTTAAATCAATGAATATGCATCATGCAAGGTTTATTTAATACGTTTTTCTAAAAAAAAAAAAGTAAATGGGAATTTGTTATTTATTAAAATTACATAATTCTTCAAATTTGGGTGAAATATTACTGTGATTGCAGTTTAGTAAACTCGAGTGTGTTTCATGATCTGAAGCGTTAAATTTAGCAACAGTGGAAAAAAAGACACCTGTACATGGCAATTCTTTATCTACATTATTTTACAAAGTACATTTTAACAGCTACTTCCCCTGATTCATTTTATTATTTTTTTTTTTGATATTACTAATGTCTTTAGGAAGATCCCATAATGTGCCCTAGTTTAACTTCAACCAAGCATAGAATCACAAAGGTGCTCTTAAAATAAATATTGCGCTGGCCAAAGCAGTCAGGATGAGAATGAGTTCATGATGGACAGTTCCAGACAAAACCCCAACATGTACCCATTGCAAAATAAATAAATAAAAGGACATTATGTGCCACAGTTAAATAGGGCATCTCAGAGAGAGGAATCTGGGTTTCTGATAAGGCTGTTACCCATTGCAAACCTCTGTATCAACATTTGCACGAGACCCAGTTTATAAAGGAGACAGGACTTTGGCACTGTTTGTCAGGGCAGCACTACAGCGACGGATGCAGCAAGAGGCAGTTAATCTTAACGCTAGCTGTTATCACAAGCTCCTACTGATAATATTTTCTCTTGTGCAGCGAATGTACTCAGCAACTTAAATAAAAAGCCACAAATCACAACATCAGCATAAAAAGCAGCTCTGCTAAGATAACCTACTCTGTCGTGTCAAACACGATATGTGACTTGTCATTGCATTTATTCAATAAATCCAATAGTATGGTAATGAAATCATGATATGGACTACACACTGGGTCTTAAATTCAAATACATCTAATTTGACACTATATATTAAATAGCAATTGGATTTAGAGTGGAGCCTTTCTTTCTAACCACCACAGTAGCTCTTTTAGAACATGTATCTACTGGGTTTGCACATTAGATCATACTCAGACTTGTTTAGCAAATAGAATAGAATAGACTAGAATACAATAGAATAGAATGGCATAGAATAGAATAGAATAGAATAGTATAGAATAGAATTGAAAAGAAAAGAATAATATTTTGTTGCCCAAAGGCTAAGAAATTGGGGTGCTTTCAGCAGTCAAGAAAAAAATACAGCAACATAACCTGATCAAATAAGAGATGCAGCAACAGATAAAAATAAAACAGAAATAAAACAGTAAGAAGAAAAATTTGAAAATAACATCAGACAGTTATTCAAACTATTAAGTCTTTTCAGGGTATTTCACTGAAATACATAGCTCCCCAGCTTCATGCTCCTTGCATGGGGTCAGAGACCTTTTACCATGCGAAGTTGTTTTTGCAAAAGTTTTTTCATCTCCCACCACCTGATCTGGGTCAAAGGGGCATCCTAAAACAGAGCTGGCCTTCCCCATTAGCTTATCCAACTGCCTCCTCTCAGCGGTAGATAAGATACTGTTGCTCTAACATACAAATCTATGGAAGATTGCTGATGCTACTACACAGCCAAAGAAGGTCTAAAACAACACCTTTTGGACTGTTAACAATCTTAATTCCTATTTACAGAAGGGGTCGGCTTTGACTCCTGTAAAAAGTATCAGTGTTGATATTTCAATGAAGTTAATTTCATAGATTAACATCCTCATACTTATAAGAGTGCATTTTAATCAGTCAGTTTCCTGGATTTCCACCTACAGTAGTAGTCATTCAAAATTGGCTGGTCCCCTACAATTCCTTTTTTTAAACATCAGTATTTGTACTAAAATATTCTTTCTGTCATGGTCTGTGGAAAATAAGATATAAACAGGAACGTCATCTCCTGGTCAGACCCTGTAATTCCGTGAAAGGGTGGAGTCAGAGTAAAAAATATGCACGCCCAGGAGAACGAGGGGGTCACTCCCGTGGCTGGAAGTTGTAGGGGATTCAACTGGGAGTTGCAGGGAAGTAGGCTGCCATTCGGTTGACGTTTCACTTGGAAGGGCCATTTTTAATGGCTGCTACTGTACTTCTTAATGAAGTCTAGCAAGTCGTATAGTCCAACAAAACATGGCTGCCCACCCTAACCGACTGTGAATCTGTTAACATGACAAATGTTAACAGATTAACAACCCACAAATCTAGCATTAGAATAATAAAAAAAAAACTGAAGTTCAAGGTTTATTTATATTTACCTGATAACATGTTTTTAACACGCCAAACATATGAAAATATGAGTCTAAGATTAAACTGAATCTTTAACCCTGTATAAAGAATGTTACATTGCATAACACCTCTGACATCCCTCCAACAAGGAACCCTGCAGAAAAAGCAAGATGTTGTCGGGATGTTCTTCTTAAGCAGGTCAGAGCTAAATGCAGGGCAATTCTGGAAGAGATAGTGTTAGAGGCTTTAAAAGACTTTAGATGGGCTGGAGGTTCGATTCCCAGCAGAACCACAACTGTAAAAATGAAACCAACAGACTGGTTCTAAATAAGACCAGATCTAAATCAAACTGAAGCTGGATTACAATAAACCTTTGGAATGCCTTTGATGACCTACTGTAGAGTCTGGTTTCTGGAATTGTTCACAACAGTGTGAACTCAATCAATGACCTTGAAACTAGCATTTGTCACAACTGCCAGTGTCAGCACAGTATATCAGGACCTTAGAGGGGTTCACTGGCAGTGAGGATGCCTGTTGGGTCAGCGTTCCAATAGGCGATGTGAAATATGGTTACATTTAAGTGATACAAGAAAAAAATAATGAAAAAAAATGGTTTGTTAATTTCTTGTGGGGCAAAGTTTGGCAGAAAAGAGGTGCAGTCATCCAACTACATCAGAATACAAAAGAGGCAAAAGAAAGCCCATGAGGCCAGCTTTATTCTTTATGCCTATTATGTCTCCTGCAACTCTATGACTCTTTTTTTCCTTGGTCTAAAGATCTCTGTATGAAAGCAAATCTCACCAAGTGAAGGCGTTAAATACCTGCCTCTAACCGTTCTCTAGACCGATCCCTAAACCAGACCAGCATGTTCCCTTTAGAGCTGCTGAACTGAACTGAAAGCTTTGAATGCCGCAAAGGGTGGCAGAATACAAAGAGATGCCAGGCTTTTCAAAATTGTATTGGATATTAAATACATGAAGGATGTGTCTTGACAAATTTTGCAAGGAGTTCAAATGGTGGAGACACTTTTGCAAAGCAGCGTGTAATAAAAATCTTTGTACAGGTTACTGAAAAACATGCAGAAAAATAAACCTTTTAT